GAGAGAGAGAGAGAGAGAGAGAGAGAGAGAGAGAGAGAGAGAGAGAGAGAGAGAGTCTTTTCATCTATTTGTTCTTCGTTCCGTTTAGTTTTTTTTTTTCTTTGTTTCCTTCTTCTTCGTCTCGGTAGTGTGCTCAATTTGCTGCTTAGGGTGACATCCTTTGACCCATGTTTGTCCGAAAGGGAGAGAGGGGGACGAGAGAGGAAGCGGGGGAGAGACAGACAGCCACAGAGAGAGAGAGAGAGAGAGAGAGAGAGAGAGAGAGAGAGAGAGAGAGAGAGAGAGAGAGAGAGAGAGAGAGAAGATCAGCCATTGAAGCTCTAGCTAGAGTAGGGGCGCCATAGCGAAGTACGTTTTCCCATTTCTGTTGTTTGTTTGTTGCATTTACCTTTCTGTCGTTTCAATGTTCATTTGTCATCTGTTGTACTATGCGTTCAAAATGATAGCCAGCGCAGAGGGAGAGAGGGGGGGAGAGAGAGCGAGAGTGGGAGGGATAGAGAGAGGTAGAAAAAGGGAAAACAAAAACGGCCTGTAAAGACAGAATGGCAAAGATATTGTATGATCTTATTTTATCTGGTTTGACGTTTGTGGTATGATCATTTGAAATTCACGAAGCAAGGGAGATTCTTTCTTGGTCAGCAATCAGAGAGCTCTCCTTTAAGCCTCACCATCACTCCTCAATGTTGCAAATATGTAGCTATGGTTGTTCATAATTCCCAGGATGGATTCTCAAAGGACAATGCCACTACTACTGTGCTTCTCCCATCCCGTTCTGCCATAGCCACACTCCTGGATGAACCTACTACTGTGCTTCTCCCATCTCGTTGGTCCATAGCCACACTCCTGGATGAAGCTAGTACTGTGCTTCGCTCATCTCGTTCCTCCATAGGCACACTCCTGGATGAAGTTCATATACAACCGGTACTCCATCAGGACCCTCGCAGATGCAGCACAGCCAAGGAAGTGGAGATGCAAGTCCAGCATAGCCAAAATAGTTATAGGTAAACCTCTGTTGTCGGTTCCCTCCTTGTATTCTTCTTCTCCATCTATCGTCATAGCCTAGCTTGGGGCTCTTCTCCATATTTGCTCCTTTCTCAACCTGAGCTCCTCCTCCGTCCACCCAGAGCTCCTCCTAAGCCTCCCTCTGCGCTGACTGCTGGTTGCATGCTCAGTCGACTCATTTCACCAATCATACACTCATGACTCTTGGCCTACAGCACCTCTACCCAGGCGCTCAGACTCTACTGCTGCGCTTGGTCCTATTGGAAGGTCCCGCCTTTGGCGGGGACATCATTGCAGACTGCAATTCACTTCCCACGGGCTGAACCTAACTTGATATCCACCTACATTCAGGGACCGGACCGTCATGACCTGTTTGGAAGATACCGGGCCTTCCTAGGCCTACCCGATTTGCTGTAAACTGCTATCGAATCCCTCTCAAATTCTACTGTGTTGTCCGACCATACTTCCTTCTAAGTCTGCCCAGCATCCAGTTTCACTCCTACCCCCATTGCTATATCTATTTACTGTTCTACCCCTTCAAGGACACAGAAAATGCAGCACAAGAACGGAGTTAGCTCACGGGTACAGGAAGCATCGCATAGAGTCTTGGACACACATGCAATACAGCGAAACACACTCAGGCTCGGAAGTCTCGAGCAAAATCTATCTGACCAACACACAGGCTCAGAAAACTGAAGGAATCTCATACTCCAACTGTGCGGGTCCAACCTGAGTGTGCTTGTCACACAATTAAAATTCTGTGGGCGGCACCGGATTGGGGGGCTGTCTTGGTCCTTTAAAAGTAGAGATAGACGAATAAGACAGAAGGCAGTAACACCCTCTTCAGCATCTTGCGTGCTTGCCAATTTTCTCCTCTTTTTTGAAGTCTTTTCCCCTTTTCCTGAACACCAATTTTTTCACTATTAAAAATTTAAAATAGAAATAACAGTAATTGCAGAATAAAAACCGGTCAGATACTCTTGCTTCTCCGGTCTTTCTTTTTGTTTTCCACGTGTTTTCCTTTGCCCGTCCACATTACTCAAGGCACTTGACATTCCCCACCGGCTCGCATGCACGTTGAACTCCTCGGTCCATGTTTCAAGACGGGCAGGATAGAGGAATTTCACCAGCATCCCGAACACGCAGGAACCCGAACGGGCCCACTCAAACGGCGCTTGCTCAAGGTCCTCGACTGCCGTGACGGGTCACCCGTGGGGGGTTTCAATCGCTCCCCACACTGCAATGCCGGTCACAGCAGCCCATGTCAACTACTTACCTACCTAAGTCTATTTCCCATGGGCAAAGCCTTGCTGACCTATCTTGTGGTAAGCCTGTGAATATGCGGTGCCGTTGCTCACAGTTGTGGTTTCTTGCCTGTGTGGTTCGTGTTCATATCACAGAGAGGAGGAGGAGGAGGATGAAGTTGATGATGGCGGGGTCGTAGATGGACCACGACTTCCTGATGACTATGGTAATGATAATGGTGGCAGAGAGGGTCTGACATCCCTAGACTTGGGCGAGGAGGCATTTGAAGAAGCTCTCAGCGAGGAATTGGGAACAAATTGGATTGGTGCGGGCCCTGGGCCTGCAGCAGCTGGTGTTTATGATGATTTTGATGGCTGCGATCAGGAGGAAGTGGAGGAGGTTGAGAGGCCCAAAAGGCGAGGTCGGAAGCGAATGTCACCAATTTCGAACTTGCCGACTGCGGTCACCCGTGGTTCAAAGAGATATCGGAAAGGGGCTTCCACGACTGCAAGCAGGCGGGTCAGTCGGACTGAACCTGAAGATCTAGCGTCACTGGCTCCTGCACCAGCACCAGTTGCAGCTCCTGCCGCCCCTTCAGGCAGAGGAACCAAATTGCAACTCCAGTACAGGTCTGTAGTACTGGAGCATTAAGTCGCGCCATTTGGGATTTGTCAGAAGCATGTTATGTGGTTACTTTGTTTTCCTTGCTTTTTTTTCACTCCCTCTTGCTTGGTGAATGGAGAGGGTAATTTCATTGAGTATATAATTCATTCAAATGGTCATAATATTATTTGTAAATACTAAATGCTAATCCACAAAACAATCAAATAATTCAGAAAATGGCAAAAGAAACATGTCAAAGTTATAAAATCATAAATGGATTGGAGGTTTTTTAACCAATCGGAAGCACATTTTCAACACTTTCTGATCATTGAAATGAACCAAGTACTCGTCGAGTTCAACCTCGCATACATGAATGAACATTCACATGACAGTTCACACGTGAGAAGCCCAATCGAGATACAGTCAATACTTTAAGATGTCGTCTCCAATATTATTATCAATATACAAGAATGTTTGTCTCCAGCGGCTCTGCCGCACACACACGCACAACGGATCTTAACCAGATAGCGGGTATGGCTTCTCCCCTCTTCTGTGTGCGCGTGTGTGTGTGTGTGTGTGTGT